CCTTTAAAGAAAGCATCCATTCACTCAAATGTCAATGTAATGTAATGTAATGTAATGTAATGTAATACACCGTTATACAACTTAACGTAACATAATGTGTGTAATGTGGTGCAATATATGGTAACGACAAACATCTGGAAGTGGATTATAGTATGTGTTATGATACTAATAAGCATAATTATATGAAATATGTAAATTGTACTCCACGACACGAACCTTTCCCTACATAAATAGACACAACAGTGATGACATGTCATTAAGCGGGTAAGGACTTTTTATGCCGTGTGTTACAGAATTAAAAACAAATATTGTATTTATTATAATGCATTACAAAATTTCTTTTAGTAAAGAATTGCGATATTATATACGGAGTGAGTTATAGACATTAAAGTGGGAGGGTCGTCACCTGCACACGCGCGGGATTGAGTTCCAATCGATGATAACAACGATGCTAATAGCGCAAAGTGTCACGGGTAGATGTATGTTTTGTAAACAACGTCACACTATGGCCGTTTGACGCATGCGCAGATGACGCCCACCTGCTTTAAAGCAAAACGAGACAGTAAATCTCACTTTTTCTTTTTCATCATTGGTAATAGCCGTATTTTCAATGTGTTTGTGTAACTAAGTCTAACATACTTTTTAATGTCAAATCCCGAGGGGGGGGGGGGTACTCCAAGTCAGACCTGGTACCCATGCCGAAGTATAGCTTTTCAAAAAAGCCTCTAAACACGAATTTATTTTTGTTGAGGTAACATGAATTCATGAGAATCCCTTTCTCACTCTTTATTACTATTGTTACATCCGCTACACGCATATACGAGTCAAATAACTAAATAACACCCCTTTTACGCGCTTTTTTTACTTTAGTTTGCGTAGCATATGGGTGTCAACTACTTGGATTTCCGTTCTTCAGGTTAATCATATTTCTGTATTTTCATTATGAATGATTTTAAGGTGTACCAGCTATTCCATGTAGGCCACACTATACCATCCCAGTGTCCTTCCTCCTGTGGATAGTACATAGAGTTCAGATGGCTAAGAGCACATTCCTTGTACCACCATGGACCGCGGTACTCTCTGGCACAATTGCCACCCCAACTGTCATTATCCCTGTCAAAGGTGGTGAATGGTTGGCCATCTAAGGCATTATTGTGCTGAGCCTTCATCCTATCACCAACTGTCCCCGAATATTGTCCCAAATGCAGTGTGTAGTTACTGTTTTCATCTTCAATCCAAAAAGAATCATACTCGGCGTATGTAGTACTACCATCAAATTTTTCCAAATCGATTCTCAACTTGTAAGAAGCTTGGTTTGTCAAACCATAGATCTTGTTATTTCCTATCCAGTGTTCGCCGTTGATATTTCCAAATACCTGCTTTATAATCAGTCCACTTTCTCTCGAAGTCAACAGATCCGTCTTGTCTACGCTGTATGACGGTCCATGCACCAGACTCTGTCGTCTCACAGTACACATCGAATGATTGTAATACTCCAATTGGTTGTACTTGATATATCCCTCTGTAGCCACCGATAGAATCTGGAATTGTGTCACAATTTGAGGAGAAAATACAAATCTGATGAAGAGTTTCTTTTCTTTTGTTGGGACATGGAGCCATGGTTGGGGTTTATGATTTATAAATTTTGTAAATATCCTAAGAAAAACGGAACTTGGAATGATTTTCAAATTGCATCACCCAGTCGTGTGTATCCAGGATTTAAACCCAGTGAAAATTAGTCATTTTACAGTAATCACAAATAAGACCACATCATCCTATGATAGGAGTATAGATATATTATTATTGTAGTTTTTAGTGACCTTGCTGTTGTACTTTCCCAAGTCAGTGTCGAGTCGATAAATAAACACATTTACTTAATCTGAGCATGGAAGGTAGTAACGGAACAGGGAGTTGTAATGAGATTATTACAGCTTCCTGATCTGAGCGTCATAGAATATTGGACGCGCAGCGGAGGTCGATGCGACGACGTACTGTCTGAGTATATACTTTGAGGTATCCTCGTAATAACCTTGTTATTATACATCTTTTCCTTCCTTCTTTGTGTGGAGTCGGGTCAAACCCTAATGGCAGCCATGTTTGTTTTTATTATTAGAATACGCTAACGCACGTAATTATTACATATTTGGAATTCGCATTTCCTTATATGGTAGGATGAAAATACCCTGTCAAATACCGCAAAATTACGGCCCGCTGTAACTAATGGCGTTACGGTGACAGATGTATAATAAATTATGTTAACAGTTACTGCAAACAGTGCAAACCCATTGGCCCATGAGACATACCAACTTGGCATATGCTTGGATGCTTTAGCTTATCATGGTACTTTTCAGTGTGTTTGTTGAATCAGCAGATCCCCGGTAGTTAAACCGAAGTGAAAGTGAATTGTTTTATATACGTACACAGAAGACATAATTTACCGGATTGTTGTCAAAACTGCCGTGCAAATAAATTCTTCTGTACTTCCATATACACTGTAGATGGCAACGTAAATATTCTACGAACAATAGGCTGCTCAGGGATGCATATCCAGGCTCCACTTCCTTATGGAGAAGAAATGGAAAAGATACGAGGTCCCTCCAAACGCCCTCTATAGTTAAATTTTCTGTCCCACAATCCTTTGCAAAATTCAATCGGAAGTTTTCTTCCTTATATAATATACCTGGCAACTTAGTAAACATGTTGAGAATGGCTTACAAGCTCTCAACTTTCACCCAGCCGATCAGTGTTCAGTAAAGAAAAAGAAAGCAGTATAGTTAATTTCCTACTGTCATGATGGAACTTGAAATTCGGCAAATGGGTCAACCTTATTCCGATATTTTGTTCGTGCGTCTGTGCCTCTGCCCGTAAGACTGGCGCAAACTATTTCAAGACAGAGTGTATCGGTACAACTGGTTCAAGTGTGCTATAAACAGTTTCGCAGAAACACGCACATCATTTGTTTTCACGATTTGATTCAAAATGATTTACTGATACTTGATTATTTCCACAATCTTTTCTCTGAAATGACTGGCCCGATTTCAATCAAACTAGATATGATGATAAAATGTATTATTATACATCTTTCACCGTAACGCCATAAGTTACAGCGTGCCGTAATTTTGCGGTATTTTACTGGGTATTTTCATCCTACCATATTAAGAAACGCGAATTCCAAATATGGAACGATTACACGCGTAAGCGTCCTCTAATAATAAAAACAAGAAACATGGCTGCCCCAGGGTTTGACCGGACCCACACAAAGTAGTTTGCTGATTCTGTTCTAAACATTTTGGATTTCGGCATTCCGATGGTGTATCCTTGGAAGGAAAAGATGTATAATAATAATTAATGTTATTACGAGTAAACTGCAAAGCATGCACTCAGGCAGTACGCGATCTCATCGATACTCCCGCTTGCATTGTCTTAGTAATACTTTGCATTATTATACATTTCAAGAAGCAGCATATTTAGCTGTTTAAAAATAGGTTGTTATTTACTGCGATAAAATAACACATGTACAATGTTTTATATAGTACACATTCAAGGCCACTGGTAATTATGCTGGTTGTGATGATTTAGTACGTCAACCCTTCAACTATTCATGACGAGGACTATTTTATTCACAATGACCTATTTATTGTATTACCAATAAATTAAAAACATAGGAATTTGTCGATAATTTTCAACTCAATTTGTCAGTACTATTAGTACTTTTGTTTTTTGAATATTGAATATTAATCTTCATTTTTCACAATGTTCTTGAATGGAAAAAATGCTATATCATCAGCGTATACAATAAAGAAGGGACTGTTATATTCCCTAGTATTAGGTATTCAGTTGTATTTTTATAAGAAAAAAAAAAAGTTAAATATAGTTGGGGACAATGGGCATGCTTGTCGTATCTTACTCACAAAATGGTCAGTGTAGCTTTCAAATAGTTTCACAGATTATTTCAAATTGTTGTACTTACTCATGATTACCTTAATAAACTTGTCAGTCACACCAGGTTAATATGAACCCTCCTTACATACTGTATCAAACGCTTCTCTTAAATCTACAAAGCACATGTAAAGTGAGTGGGATTTGTATTTTTCATAATTTTCTAAGGTTTGATTTGAAAATAAATACATGGTCAGATATTCTATTGTTTTTTTTTTTCTAAAGCTTATTTGGTATATCATATACACGAAAAAAGGTATTCATAATAATGGTAAAATGTTTCCCTGGGCTACTCGAAATATTGATTAATTCCCTTGTAATTAGCTGGATCTGTCAATATACCATTTGAACCATGCTGGTGCTGATATACCCCATAATGTTGTTGAAAATCATAATTAAATTGAAGTATTATGAAATCAATACTATTTTTAATCATTGCATTTGAAGTTCTGTTTTAATGCTTCTTTTATTTTTTTCGGTAATAATGTATCTCTTATAGATGACACATCGGAGTTGTTCATATAGGTGATTGTCCGTCGCCCGTCCGCCGTCTATCAACAATTGCATTTTCGACTTCTTCTTGAAAACTACCAGCTCTATTGCGTTGATACTTAGCATATAGTTACATTTGGTGGATCTTTTTGTCAGAATGCTCTACTTCATTTTGCGCCGATATCATCAACTCTCTATTTTTTGCAAACATTTTTGTCATTTTTGATAAAAAATGATATTTTTGATTTTTTCTTGAATCCTACCAGCCCGACTGCTTTGATATTTGAGGTGTACATAATTTTTTGTGAACAATTTTTTTGATGAAGTTAAGTTGACATGTTCTTAAAAGACAGAACCAAACTACTTGTTTGTGGGTTAACCGCGTTTTGTCATATGGGTGTGCATTACTTGACTTTATAGCTACTGCAATGTTCTTGTAGGACAGCGGAGCTACTTCGTTCGCCAGGTAGCTTATTATGATTTCCCTTATAGATCTACCGCTGTATGTATGTACTAACGTTGACTCCACTCATACTACCAGTGTTGGGTGTCTTTCTATCATCGAAGACAGTCTTAATTTATATCTAAAAAGTAATTATAATTGATATAATAATAATAGAATGGCAATTAATTGTAAAACAAAAGCATAGGCAAGAATTAGATTGCAAGTTTAGCGCAAGTGTAATTGTAGACGAAAACCTTACGTGGAAACCTCACTGTTATACAGTGATTAAACAGGTTAATAGTAATATTGCGCTGTTTCGAACTTGAAGATAAAAGCGTTCCTACCAATGTCTATTATTCTATAATACTAGTAGTCACGTTTTAACACATTGCCTGACACAGTTTCTTACAAAAATGTATCTCTGATTTATAAATTGTTAAATAGTACTGTGTCGCCACATATGGGTAATTTGTATTTTTTATTCGTAATTTCTCACATTTACAAGATCGTAACAAGATGAAATTACCCGGAAATTATCATTACGAGTTCCTTTAAAGGGCGGCAGTCGTCGCGCCGCGTCCTGTTCGATATGAGACTCATAGTGACGTATACAACGAGTGTAAAATACATTGTTTATTTACGTGAAATTCGAACACGCGCTGGGCGACGACCACCGCGCTTTAACCAGTAAGGATTTTTATCGTGAAAGTTCAGTGGTTGTCAGTGCTAAATACAGGAATAGAATTAAGTCAATTAGACGAGCAAGTAACTTTTTAAAAAGACATACCTCAAGGATTTTTGGAACGTCGCAGTGTAAATTGTCTTGTCTCTTATATTTTTTATTATTATTGTATTTTACTAACTATATTTTAAAGTAATTGAGAGCCCCGAGGAGATAGGCTTCTATATTGAGGATTCTATAATAATAAATTATACTACTATACCACAGTTGTCACTGTACAAGCCGTTCGCAATATAAATATGTTTATTTTGTTTATAGCAACAGAATTCTTTTGAGACATGCGACATTTTCGTCAAAAATAATTTGCAATCATGAGTTATTAAAAACAGTATTACATGTACATTGTTATTAGTTTAATCCGTAAAAATGATTGCTAAAAAGAAACACATCTTGCTCGTATTTGTCAGATCCTGTCCTGTTACAAGAGAGTGTGCTATTATGAATACCAGTATGTAATGATCAATATTACCGGTACTATGTGATATGCCGCTAGAAATGATATCATTTTCTGATCAGTACTTTTACCAAATTTATTGATTTTTCTCGATTCCTGAGATTAGTAAAGATGTCACGTGTCACCAATGAAATGAATTCAAAATATCGCTGAACAAGAAATTAGCATAATCCAGTATGATGATGGAGAAATTGTTGAGCAAACTTGCGTGGTGACGATTCACTAGAAAATAAAAAAAATTCCACTGTACCATTGTATGTCTACTCCGTGCCATGGACTTTTTCACTCGGAGCAATGTCACGACAATAGTGTATTGACCTCAAAACTAAAATTGAAGGCCTTCGGCATACAATTTAAATAACAAAAGCGTGAATGTCGCTACAAAGCTCTAAGACTATCTCAACTA